GAAATTATGGGATGTAAAAATACAATGAGGAGCAATTTCACATGGGTCTAGATTTCCTTGATGTTCTTAGCATTTCAGAACATGCAGAATTTAGCAAACTCTTAAATACAGTCTTGCCCACATGCTCTGACACCTCCCTATCTCTCCGATCTGCTTACTCCCCAACCCACTATCCGCTGCCTCCGCTCGACTGGCTCCGACCTCTTGCATGATGTTCGTGTCCTCCATTCCACCATTGCGCTTTCATGCCTGAGACTCTGGAACACTTTTCCTCTATCCCTCCACCTTGCCCCTTCCTTCCCCATCTTCAGATCGCACCTGAAGACCTTCTTATTTTGCCGTGCCTACGGTCACCTCCCCCTGGCTCGGCATTGTGCTCCGTCACTGACAAGCTCTCTGGGACACTACCCTGCGCTATATAAATGCAAGTTGTTTTTCGTTGCTTTCAAAGTAAAGGCTAAATTCAACAATTTGCCAAATTCTGCACACTCTGAAATGCTAAGAATAAATCTAAACCCCAAATTTATAGAGTCAACATGATATTTATCACTTGAAATCCATTTTATAAACAGCAGACTGGTTTTGAGTGCGAATAGTGACATGATGTCACTACAATGGTTTGGTCTGAAGATTTAAGTGCTGCCATTGTTGTCCTTAATCAATCAATGATGAGGATTCATAGGTTATCAGTTTAACTATGTGAAGCAGCAAGCAAATAAAACAGCTCTGGGATTGGGAACAAGAATTTCAGCTGCTCAACACCAATTTAGGATGGTGACATAACATTTTGGGAATATAATTATCACCTGAAATTCTGATCTTCCTTAGCAGATTTGATGGGATAATTAGCTCAGTAGTTTGAGCACTCGCCTTGCAAGCGAGAGACCCGGGTTCGATTCCCAGCAGGGTGAAAAGTTGGGCAAGTTTCCTTATACCACACACCTCTGTTTATCTAGCTGTAAGTGGAAACCCGGTTGTCAGTCGATTGACAGATCGCTTTTCGGGTGGTAATAATTCCTTCAAAATGTTTTTAAAAGAAATTGGATGCTTAATCCATGACTGTTTGTGAGACTCATTTTGCTGTCTCGTTTCACCCATAAAATGTACAGTAAATTAATTTTACACTATATTCTATGAAGCGCTTTGAGACATCTCGAAGATGTGATATATCAAATGCAAGGATTATTGTTATTATTATTATTTGGGATGTGAACAACATGATGTCAGTACAACAGTTGTAATCATTGATGTAATCCTTGAGATTCTACACCGTTTCCTCTCCAGGCTGTTATTCTCTTCTCTAAAGGAATAGCCAGAAGTGGTTGCAGTATTTCTAACTATGGCCTAACTAGGACCTTGTATAAATTTAACAACACTTTCTTATGTTTGTATTCAATGTCTTTGCATAAAACAGTAGAATCTGTTTTGACTTGATGTGGCCTTTTCTACTTACCTTTTCTAACCACTTTTAAGGATCTGCATCACTTGATCCATTCTATTCCTCAACATCATTAAAACATCATTGCCAATCACAGTATACTTTCTTTATTCTTTTCCCCCCAAATTATATATATATATAGGTGGATCTACCTATTACTCCATATAATGTTTCGAAATGAGCAGGGTACTATGGCTGTAATCACATTCTCCGTGAATATCTTTTGTTCATGACATTTTCTTCATATTATATTCAACATCTAACAGCAGGAAGCAGCCAGAGGCAACTGTAACAAGGACAGATGTCTCACAAGTCTGTCCCTGTTAAATACCAAGAACACCTCAAGGCATGTGGAATTTCCATCAGGAAATTCGGAAATCAGGCAAGACAGTTATTTTAAAAATAATTCTTATATTTGATTTTTTGCAATTTGCTTTGCTTAATGTATTTTTTAACAATCCTGGTTAAACAAAGAATGGTTGAACTCTCCATTTGAATGTCTACATACAAAAAGCATAAGAAACTTCTCTCCATTATTACCCGTGGGTGCTTTGAATCAATATGAATGAAGCTATAAATTGACAGCAGCTCTAACATACATTCCCGTATAAGCATGGGAGTCTAGCTTCAGTACTAAAACTTTTGTGGTACGACTCCTGTCTTGGTCATGAAGAGTAATAAGCAGATCGATCACAACTCTAACAGCAGTAGTTTACGTTTACAATTATCTCTCATTTGGGAGGATGTCTCAAAGTGCTTCAAACAGGTAACTAAGTTGAAGGAGGGAGGGGGTTTCTGAGGGGTGGAAGGAACGATGACCAAATGTGTCGTCTTAAGGTGGGCTTTAAAGATCGGGAGTGGGGGGAAGCTCTAGAGTGGGGGCAGAAATATTGAAATATTTCTATTCCTATCAGCACTACCATTACTCATCATATTCCTTCCATTTAAGATTGTGTCTTATCAGAACGTTAACATTTCTCAAAGTGCTTCACATGATTTACTGGAAAATGTAGTGTCAGTGTATTTGTGGGCAAATATGGCAGTCAGTTTGAACACAACAATGTGCCACAAACAGCCATGAAGTGAGTGAGCAATTTTCTGGGGGATTTTGGTCTGGACACCGAGAGAGATTCCTCTGGGATTATTACTTACATATATAATAATAGTCCTTGCATTCATATAGCATCTTTCGAGTTAGGAAGACCTCCCAAAGTGCTCCACAGAATACAGTGTAAAGTGTAATGACTGTTTTGTGGCAAAACAAAATATATTCATATAGACTACATTTGACCCAACCAGTCCATTCCAGTGGTTATAGTTCACATGAGCCTCCACCCATCCTAATTATTTGAGTTAAAGAACATAAGAACATAGAACATAAGAATTAGGAGCAGCAGTAGGCCATTCGGCCCCCCTAGCCTGCCCCACCATTCAATAAGATCATGACTGATCTATTCTAACTCCACCTTCCCGCCTTGTCCCCATATCCCTTAATCCCTTTATCCACGAGAAATCTATCAATCTCAGTCTTGAATATGTTCAAGGACTTTTGGGGTAGAGAATTCCATAAATAACATGTTGTCCCTGGTAAATACCAAAACCACCGAAAGACATGTGGAATTTCCACCAGGGGCAGCAAATCAGTTATTTTTAAAATAATCCTTATATTTGATTTTTTGCAATTCCTTTTGCTTAATACATTTTTCAACAATCCTGGTTAAACGAGGGATGGTTAAACTCTCCATTTTGCATACAAAAAGCATATGTAGATATCGAGTAGTTTCACTGAGTTTCACCACATAGCCCATAATCAAGCATTGGCTAAATAAAACCTTCATAACATTCAGTTATGACGTTAATGTATAAGCAGCACATTATTACTGACAACATCTGTAATAAGCAGAAATATTTAATTGACACCGCAAATATAATAACTCATACAAACCTGTAGCTTTAAACATGTCACCGATTGAATTGATCTTTTCCTTCTGAAATGTGTGTAACAATAAAGGGCATAGAGCAGGGAATGGGATTAAAGCAGATATCTCCCGTGAAGGAAGCTAGCAACTAGGACAAACACATGACCTCTTTGTGTGCTATAAACATTCTGTGATTCTTTGACTCTTGGTCTGAAATATTGTCAGTTAATACAGATTACAAAACACAATCTCAGTCAGATTATTATTTCTATGTTACCATTGCACCACATATAAAACACAGATAGCGCACATATAAATATTACATACTTGCCTAAATTGAATAAGGAATATATTCTATCTAAGTGAGTTAACAAGCTGACTAGAACAATTTTTCTGAGCCATCAGCATTTCAAGAACAATTCAAAGAGCTGTAACCTGACACTCAGAAACATCAAGACAAGCTGTAAGGATAGAACTCACACCTAGTGATCACTGTTGAGCTTTCTGTCACAGCACCATAGAAAAGGTCTAGCTGCACTATACAGCTGGCACAATGTCAAACATCTGCACACAAGATCTCACGTTCTATGAATATCCTTTCCAAAATATCGTATGTTAGTCACATTTCAGCACAACAGCAGCAAAAACTTGCATTCATTTAGCACCCTTCTTGCAGGATAGTGTCCCAGAGCGCTACACGGTGGCAGAGTTAATCACAGATGCAATGTTATAATTACCACATCAAACCAGTTATGATTTAGCACCAATACTTAAAAAGATGTTCCCAAATACAATGTTTAAATTACTTATGACAGTGTTACACTTGTGTAAAAACAAAACTTACATTCGATACAGTGTCTTTCACGTCAGGAGGACATCCCAAAAGGCTTCACAGGATATACTGTAAAGTGGTGTGACTATGTGTTTTGTGAGCGAGCATGGTGCACTCACTTGCCTTGTGACAAAGCAGTTCAGATATTATACAGTCTCTTTCACTTGTGAAATATTGTGTTTAACAATTTCTTGTGCGGTATCTTCTATAAATTTGAAGATAATTGTTAGCTAGCATTACAACAACAACTACAAGATTACATTTGTTATAACGCCTTTCACATCGGGAGGACATCCCAAGGTGCTGGACGGTGTACAGCATGTACAGCTTAACCTAAAGTATACATGCATGGCTTATTTCCATTTTTGCCTAATCAATAACTTTCAACATCTGCATGACATTTCAAGCATGAAACACACATCAAATAAACTCAAGTCTATAAAGTCAATTTCACGTCGATGCTAAAATGAGGTGTTGTAACAAGGGCTTCTTGGGAAACAGTTCTGTCTTGCAAGAGTTGCAGTTAATGAAGGTGCCTGAGGATCTTAAACAGGTTGTACACAACATCAAATAACTGAATGGCACAATAGCTCAAATATGGTGAGTATTTAAAGTATGAACAGTTTATTGCATTCTGGCTTCCAGGTAAAACTAATACTTTTTTAAACTAGTCTAACCGGTTAACATTGCAAGTCTTGTTCTGTTCAATACTTGGTGTGGTACAGTAATTTTACCACACCCATTTTCAAAAAAAGAGATGTGAGAATTCCTGGCAGAATTCATCCTGCTTGCAAAACATCTTCAGAAGCAAAACAGAAACTGCTCATCGCAAATCTTCTAAACTAACAATATAAGTTGGGCTTTGGTTTGCTGAAACGAGTACGTGCTGCTGGTGCCTCTGAGCCTCCCTTGGATTACCTCAGACCGCTGTAAAACTACAAGGTTAGTGTTCAACTAGGGGAAATAATATTCTAACATTCTAGCTGTTCAGTAGGGAATTTCAGCCACATTAATGCTTAAGTGAGTGGAGCATCCCCTTTTGGGTGTTCTTTCAAGCAGTTAGAGTTCTGAGTATGAGTTATTCTTGACCAGTGGTTTACACTGCACACTTTTTCAGCTTTTGATTTTTCCAAGCATTCATTATATGTTTGCTACAACACAATTGTCTCACTTCTTGTTTTACATTTTCACAACCATTTTCTCTTCAGTTCTTTCTTCCATTGTAATTGCAACATAGTTCAATACTTCAGATTCACACTAGAATGTGGATCGGAATTCTTACTCTGTTTCTGAAAATATCATAGTCTTAGCCTTACAACCACTGTAATAACATTTTAGATCATTTGTTTCAATGAGACATTTCAATTATGTGATAAGGTGCTTTATCAAATGCAAAGGTATCAAATACAAGGATTTTTAGGCGTGTTGTGAATAAATCTGTACACACAAGGAAATTAAACACAATGGAAGAGCATTTACAATGAAAGATGCCAATGAGCCTATAAAGAATCAACGGTCAGTTGATGAAAATAAATACATGGTGCTATTTGGTAAAAACATTTTAAGAAAGTTAGGCAATTGGTTATTGTACAAATAATCCCATCTAGATCCATTGTTTTGTAGCAGGGTATATTTCTATTTGAAAGTTTGGCATTCTAGTGGACTTGAAAGACAACAAAACTGAAATTAATAGAGGATCTATATCTCACCTGAGATGACAGATTCAGGACTGAGAGGGGGAACACATGATTGTAGAACAGGATTATGAGAGCTTCAATACTGACACCAGGTAGAAGAGTCAAACTTTCAACCAACAGACCTTTCTTGCAGTCCTGATAGAATCTGTCTGCTTCAGATGTTCACATTTGTTTTTCTGGTTGTTTTTCTGACTGGAGGGAAGTATCCAGTGGTATCTCCCAGGGATCAGTATTGGAACCACTACTGTTTTTGATCTATATAAGTGACTTGGACTTGGGTATAGGGAGTACAATTTCCAAGTTTGCAGATGATACTAAGCTAGGAAAAGTAGTAAACAGTGAGGAGGATAGTAGCAGACTGCAAACGGACATAGACAGACTGGTAAAATTGGCAGACACGTGTTATATGCAGTTTAATGTGGAGAAATGCAAAGTGGGATTTTGGGAGGAAGAATGAGGAGAGGCAATATAAGCTGATGGTACCATTTTAAAGGGGTGAAGAAACAGAGAGACCTGGAGGTTTATACAAGTAAATCTTTGAAGGTAGCAGGACAGGTAGATAAAGCTGTTAAAAAAAGCTTATGGGTTACAAGGCTTTATAAATAGGGGCATAGAATACAAAAGTCAGGAAGTCATGATGAACCTTTATGAACACTGGTTAGGCCTCAGCGAGAGTACTGTGTTCAGTTCTGGGCACCACACTTTAAGAAGGATGTCAAGGCAGTGGAGAGGGTGCGAAGGAGATTTACCAGGATGGTACCAGGAATGAGGGACTTCAGTTATCAGGAGAGGCTAGAGAAGCTGGGATTATTCTCCTTGGAGCAGAGAAGGTTAAGAGGAGACTTAATAGAAGTTTTCAAAATTATGAGGGGATTCGATAAGGTGAACAAGGAGAAACTATTTCCACTGGCTGGTGTGTCAATAACCCGAGGACACCGATTCAAAATAGTTGTTAAAAGAAACAGAGGGAAGGTGAGGAGAATTTTTTTTNACACAGCGAGTTGTTCAGATCTGGAATGCATTGCCTGAAAGGGTGGTGGAAGCCGATTCAATAACACTCTCAATAAGAGAGAAGTAGATAATTATTTGGGGAGGACAAGTTTGCAAGGCTATGGGGAGAGAGCGGGGGAGTGGGATGGCTCTTTTCAAAGTGCCAACACAGACACGATGGGCCAAATAGCTTCCTTCTGTACTGTATAACTCTATAAATTCTCTTTTTCAGTACTATGAGTTTGTAGGCTGTCAAATTGTCTTCTGAGAAACACTTGTCCACATGATATGTACACTGTTGCCACATTACTGTCGAAGAGATATGTGAAATAAATGAACACATGTGACACGTAATGATGCTACTATGTCATTATGCTTTACGCCTGCGAATCAAAATGAGACGCAGGAGGCCCCTTTCCTCATTTGTACTGTTTCTTTACTGATTTATGTAGAAACTAAAGTGGCAGCTACAAAATAACTATCTTTTACAGCAGAGGAAAAGCTGACAAGTATTGCAGCACAATGTTTTTGCAGATTCTGTGAACCATTTTGCACAACAATCCTGAAACAAGCAGGATTGAAATTACAAAAGGTAAAATACTGCAGATGCTGGAAATCTGAAATAAAACCAGAAGTCGCTGGGAACACTCAGCGGGTCAGGCAGCATCTGTGGAGAGAGGAAAGTGAGTTAACGTTTCAGGTCAATGATCTTTCGTCAGAACTGGGGGATGTTGGAAGGGAACAGATTATAAGGACAAGCAGAGAAGGGGACAGGGAAAGAAAAAGGAAAAATTAGTTGGAGGATAACAGATGGCGAGATCAGAGATGTTCATGGTGCAAGATAAAAGATGGCAATAGTGGGAGATTATAGAAAGAAAAGATGTGTCTGAGACCCAGAAGATGTGTGAATGGTTATAGAAGAGGGGGAGTGGGGGGAGGCAAGGCTGAGAGAAGATGGAGCTGTGTTTAAAGTCTGATGAGGTTAAAATCAATGTTGAGGCCAGAGGGCTATAAGGTGTCTAGAAGTAGGTGAAATGCTGTTCCTCGAGCTTGCGTTGTGCTTCGTTTGAACAGCGTAGGAGGCCATGGACAGAGAGGTCAGAGTGGGAGTGGGAGTGGGAAGAAGATTTAATGTGGAAACCAGAAGCTCTGGGTTGCACTTGTGGACGATTGGAGGTGTTCGGCAAGGGGATCACCCAGTCTGTGTTTGGTCTCCCCGACGTAGAGGAGACCACATCGTGAGCAGCGAATACAGTAAACTAGGTTAGCATAAGCACATGTAAATCCCTGTCTCACCCAGAAAGAGTGTTTCAGGCCCTGGACAGTGATATCAGAGGAGGTGAACAGGCAGGTGTTGCATCTCCTGCGCTGGCATGGGAAGGTGCCGGGGGAGGGAGAGCAGGTGTTAGTGGTGATGGCGGAGTGGACCAGGGAGTCACGGAGGGAACGGTCCCTTTGTAATACTGAGAAGGAAGGGGATGCAAAAATGTGTTTCCACCACCTCCACCATTTTTGCCATTTCTGCCACCTGCAGCATGATCACTGGAGGTGGGATCATGCCAGAGGTGCTGGAAATGGCAGAGGATTATCTGTTGAACGTGGAGGTTGGTGGGGTGGAATGTGAGGACTAGAGTGACCATATCACAGTTGGGGAGGGGGGGTGAGGTGAGAAGTGCCGGAAATAGGACAGTCACGGTCAAGGGCCCTGTCTACCATGGTGGAGGGGAATCCTCGGCTGAGGAAAAAGGGGACATTTCAGAAGCTCTGGTGTGGAAGATGGATAGAAATTAAGTTTTATTGTAAGTGTGATAACATTTATTGTAACTGGTGATAAAAATCTTATGCCAGAGAAGCAAATTAGAGGAATATATTCAAAAAGCATACTTTCCAATGATAATGTGTGCAACGATTGACCTGCAAAGATCTTGTGAGTGTATTCTTGCATGCACATTGATTTGTCCGCTGGAACACTTTAGGAAGCACTGGCTAATAAACCTTCAGATAAAATTGACCATTTTTTTCATGGCTTTTTGTGGATCATCATTGCTGTGTGCAAATTGGTTGCCCTATTCACCTACAAAATACATAGTCACTACACTTTATAGTAAATCCTATGAAGCCCCTTTTGGGATGTCTTCCTGATGTGAAGGGCACTTTATCAACTGTAAATGTCATTATTATTGTTATTATTATTATGTATTGTATCGAAGCATTAATACAGTAAATTGTGTGGAAAGATAGTAGATTTGGGAACCAATGTAGCAGAAAGTATGCTGACCTGGGACTAAACCAAAGCAAATTTAACTGCATCAGAAGTATGTCAACAATTACTGGGGCTATTATTATAGTGATTGATGGCATTCAAACTGATGGTGACACTGAATAAGCTTTGAAGATAATTTGTTGCTTGAATGTCTGTGACTGGTGATTAAAGATTACTTTTAGTTTGGATGATGGATGAAGTGATAAACAGATATTCAGTTCCCAGACTGAATGTTACACAAAATTAGATGGGCAGTAGTCCATAACAAGGCTTATCTATTTATGTTCTATTTACATAGTTTTGCCTCTCATTTTCACTTTATGTATATCTATTATTATGTGACTAAAGTATCAAATCTCTTTGCCAACATGTTGCACCAGTTATATCAGAAAAAGAAGTAGGTGCGTTAAATAAATTGTTGCTGCAAGTGTAGAGCCACAGTAACAGAAGACAATGTAAGCTTTTCTGATGGTCAAGTGAGTAATGGCACTGCTCGGATCCACATTAAGTTGTACAGATAAAGGTCATTGGCTCAAATCTTGGTGTAATCTGAGTTTGCAGATTTCACCAGAAAAACGGTTGGGATGTGACTTTTTTTTTAAAAAAGTGCTCTTATCTGCTATTTGCTTTTATAAAAATGAAAAAGCAAAGACAATGTTTTGGTTACTTTGTGAAGTCTCATTCACACCAAGTGGTACAGACTGGTTGGGCAGATGTACAGGTTTAAGTTGTACAGATTTAACAAATAAATTTCAAAATCCTCACTTTCAAATCTGTTCACGCCCTGGCCCCTCCCTACCTCTCTGATCTGCTCACACCCTACTACTTTACCCGTTGCCTCCGCTCAGCTGGCTCTGCTGCACATCCCTTGTCCCTTCCACTCCACAATTGGTGGCTGTGCTTTCAGACACTATGCCCCGAATCTCTGGAACTCCTTGCCTCAAAACCTCCATCTTGTCCCCTCTCTACCCATCTACAAATCACATCCAAAG